TGTATGCATTCACTTTCAAACATTTTTGTGTCACTCTTAGAAACCCAGTTAAACAACAAATGCTAATGAAATTACAAATTACTGATGAAAATATCCTACTGTAGAAAAACTGAACATTTTATAGATTCCCTGGCATTTTACTTTAATTCTCTCACTTAAATTACTATCATTACTCTCCACTCAAAAATAAACAACTCACCAGTGACCAGTTAAACGACACACAGGGAAGGGTTTGGGAAACACAATAAAGCAAATGGTAATTACAAAATAAAAAATTTAATGATAACTCAGCATCAAAAATCTCTCTTAACATAATACTCTTCTTTGCAGATTATTTCCCATTTAGTGTTTACTTCTATGTAAGTGAGATACTATGTTACAGTAGCACATAAGTCTGAACAGTTGAACTTTTCTATTTTCTGCTAAGTCAAATTATATCTCCATCCTCACTATCACAAGCTTGCAAGCTTGTTTGTTACCAACAAAGGATAATACACCCTACAAATGTGAAACAAGTATCCCTGGCATTTAATACAATGAACTGAAAGATGTGCACCTGATAAGAATGTGTTAAGTTAGTGTTTCAAAAAAAATCAAAGAACACTAAAAAATCAACTGCTTCCTGTATGCAATTTCTTACCATTTCCCATTTTACACACTTAGCTTTACTAAGTGGAACTTGCAGCCTACTGAATAATTCTTAAGTTAAAGAATCAGGTAACACAAGCGTCAGGAAATCAATGACATAAAAAAAGAAAGAATAAATGATCAATAATTAGTAAGTCATCATTAATCCTGGGTTACCCAGTCAAGTTATGAATTTTTTTATAGTTTAATTAAGGAAAATAATTCTCATGAGAAAACAGCAATTTCTATGATCTTTGCTTTTTCTTCTTTTTAAATTGTGGTAAAGCAAGTAAATAGCAGATAATCTAATAGAGCAAACCAACTTATCTAAACCATTATCTTATAGTCCTTTTTTAACCACTAAATTTGTGAGTTCATTTTTATCTTAATGAGGGCTGAGTTTTAGAAAATGATTCAACTTATGAACTTAAATTTGTTTCTTTAGAGATCTCACGATTCATCTCAACAACTGAACTGTAATGTCTGCAAATATACACACACACAGATAGTCTTTGGTAGAATTCCCAGTAACCACAGGTTCACAAACTGACTATAAAGGAAAACTGACTCAAATTCAGTACCAATGTGACTAAAGAACAACCTGTACCACTATAGGTCATTACAGAGATCACAATTTTCTAAGTTTTCTGGACATTAAAAACCATGAGGAAAATAATCAAACAAATAACTATGAGGCCCAAATCTCCAACTCCAGACAACACTATGTTTTAATGAAGGTGAATACATCTCATAAAGGAGTCTCATGAAATACTCAGATAAGACTAAATCCTTTAGAAAGCAGAACCAGACTGAACAGACCCAGTGGGGTAAGTCACAGAGCTAGTTAGTGTTCAAGCTCTTTCTACCATGCCACTCCCGTTGTGGAATTGTAAATGAATTGAAGCCCAGAGTCCACCTATGACTCAGATGATTCAACACAACATGAATATTACTGGCTCTATTATTGGCACAGTAGTCTCATGATGATGTATCTTTCAAACGTTCAAGATAGCTTATACGTAATTAACCATTTTTAGGCATTTTGCTGTCCATCCAGGAAAAAGTGGGGCAGTTCTCTTACCCTGACCATGAAGCACGCTTTGATCTATTAAAATTCTGTCCAATGGGATAAGTCATATGTAAGAGTTACCAGAATTTATATTATGTCTTTTAAAATCTCTGATGACAATTACTTGGTTATCCAAAAGTATCACCCCTTGGGACCATTAAGAAGTCACAGCATCTAGGGACACCTGTGGTTTCATTAACACCTTACTGTGTTAATAATGCTCTTTGTTTATCTCCCTGGTTGCATGTATTCTTTTTCTCCCCTACTACTGTCCCTCCTTCCCTATTTCATCCAATCTGCATGTGGCCCCTGTGGTTCCTTATTACTTGAACAGCTAACACTTTGTGGAATAGGTTCTTTTAGAGGACACGTTTCTACCCAGACATAATTATTTCAGCTTTTTTAAGGTGTTCAAAAAAACAAACAAAAAAAAAACCCCCAGGTCCCTTGCTTCTCGGGATGCCCAACCCTATTTCATGACCTCCTTTCCAACCAATCAAAAATGTGACTTGAAGCGCAACAGCCTCTAAAGAGTAATGGAGCTCTTTAAGGGAAAACGTAAACTATCTAATGCACAGATATTTTCGAGCTCGACGACACTCGGCCAGGATGAAGAGAAGACAGGAGCTGGCTGTCGCCCACCCAGAGCGGGGCCATCTTTCAGGACGCCCGCTTGCCGGCTGCAGCAGCGTCACATCAAAGCCGGGAAGAAGGGCAGGAGCGGATTTGACAATCTGGCCAGGCCGGTGGCTACCGGCCCAGGTGCGGGGATTACCTTCAGGCCTTTCACTGGCCGCCGCCGCCGTCCCGCACCAAAGCGGTTCCGCCGCCGCCGCTATTTGCGCTGTCCTCACAGCCTGGTATGGCTCGGAGACCCCGGGGTCGGGCGGACCTTGGCCACTGGCCGGTGGGAAGCCGGCGGCTACGCGCCACAAAAAGGGGGTCACGGGCCTCGCCGGGGGCCCCGGGCCGGGGACCGGAGAAGTCGCGGGAGCGCGGTCAGGGGCAGGGGGTCTTGATCTGCCTGCAGCACCCCGGGAGAGGAAGAGGAAGGTTGGGGAAGCGCTCTGCACAAGAGACGCAACTCCCTGCAGCGCAGGAGGGTGGGGGACCCCGGCACGGGGTGCAAAGGTGCGGGGAAGGGAACTTGTGCCGCGGCCGTTTCTGGGAGCAGCAGAACGGTGGAGCGCGACACCCCTACAGTTCGGGTCCAGAAAGGAGCCCGGCGGCTGCTCCCCGACCATTCCAGGGCGCCCGACACTTTTCTTTTCCCTCTGCCGCCCGCCCTCCGACCCCCCAGCAGAGAGCTGGGCTGCTAGGTGCTGCAGAAAGAGCTGGGCGTGGGGGGGGAGAGCGGAGGCGGGCGGGAGAAAGAGGGAGCGGTGGAGCGCTCGTCGCCTTTCCGCCACCCACCGCCACGCGGAGTCGCGCCCGGTCCGGCTCGGGCTTGGAGCGGTCGCGGGGGCCGCGCGCCGCGAGCATCCCGGGCCGGCGCGCGCGCGCGCCCTCGCGCGGCGCTCCCGTGCCCCCCCCAACCCCGGCGGGCTCCCTCCCTCCTCCCCACGCGCCGCGGTCTCCTCTCCCCAACGTTCCGGCCGCCCGTGCGCGCCTCCCCGCGCGCCACTCCGCCCGCTGGTTGGCGCCTCCGCCCGCGCTCCCGCCTCGCGCCCGCTCCCGCCCTTTGATTTTCCCTCAGCAAAGTTGAGGGGGCCGGGGGGGGCTGGCCAGCGGCTCGGCCCTTCGCCGGTGGCCCCCGGTCCCCGGTGCTGCTCTCGGTGCGCGGCCCCCCGCGCCGCCGCCCCCTTCAGGCCGCCTCGGGAGCCGGCCGGGCGGGAAGGCCCAGCGGCGGCGCCCCGCTCTTACCTGCCGGGAGTTGTTGGGTTTTTCTTTTTCTTTCTTCCTGCCTGGCTCCCCGCTCCGGGCCGGCTCGCGGCTCTCCTTCCTGCTGGGCGGGGAGGCGCGGAGCCGGGCGGGCGGCCGGGCCGGGCTGGGCTGCGCGGCGAGCGCGGCGCCGCTCTCCCCTCCCCGCCCCCCTCCCTCCACCCCGCGCTCCGGCGGTGGCGGCGGCAGCGGCGGCGGCGCTCCGCTCTCCGCCTCATTCCAATATGGCACGGCCGCGCAGGGCGCATGCGCCCGTCGCCCCTCCGGCTCCCCCCACCCCACTCCCTGCGCCGGCTCCCCGATTCGAGCCGCGCTCGCCCCCAGCATTGCCGGTCCCTCGCCCCTCGCGTGGGTCTGTGCCACGGCCTCGATCTTCCCCCCTGCCACGTGCGCTGGGGCCGGCTTTGCACCCCAAGACTAGAACTCGCCGCCCCTGCGGACCACCTCCCACCTCCCCAAGCACAGTGGCCCCGCAGTACGGGGGTAGGGGGACCCCGGGGCATAGAATGGACACGTGGTCATCTTTTCATTTTCAATTATTTATTTTTGACGTTTTCGTATCCCCTGCCCCTAGAAACAGCCAACGAGCCACTCTAGGTGCCGGTGTCACTGCGCCCGCTCCCCGAAACCCACCAGCTGACCGGGACTCCCCCCTGCCCAGGCCACCGGCTGCACGCTGCCCCGGACGGCGCTGCACCGAGCGCCCCTAGGAAGCCCTGGCCCACCAAGGGCCGGGACACCCCGCCGCCCGAGTTTGAGAAAGTTGGGCGGAGGAGCACCGACGGATGCCCGAGGCGAAGCTGACGGGAGTGGAGGCGGGGAACTCCCCCGTGGGAGCCATCACCATTCCCCGCCCCCTCCCCCCAGCTAATGACGAATCAAACCCCAAGAAGAGACGGCGCGCCCAGCAGCCCCTCGCTCTTTCCAGCGGGCCCCAGGAGGCCGCGCATCGCCCCCGGCCCGAGGGGAGAAAGAGCGGCTCCAGACGGTGCCAGGACGTGGGCTGCTGAGGCCGGAGCCTGACGGGCCGCAGTGCGGGCGCACGCGGGAGGCGCGCGGCTCCCTCCTTTCCCGGGGGGGGGACTCGAGCTGGCACAGCAGGTCCCCCGGAATCTCCCCGCCTTCGCTGTCCCGAGCCGGAGCCGCCGGCAGGGAAAGCCGCTGCTCCCACGAATCCCCGGAGCGCGGAGCCTGCGGGGGCCGCACCTCCCCGAGGGAGCCGAGCTGGGCGCGCTCGAAAGCTTTGGCTTGGCCGCACGTCCCCAGGCCTGCCCAGAGCCCCCCGGTCCCGCCCGGATGCCAGCCATCCCTGCAGGCACGCCCAAGACCCGAGCCCCCGCTTCTGGAAAGCAATCACTGACCAGCCCGCTTGCGCGCCAAATTGGGCTCGCCCCCACCCAGTCTCAGGCCCTAGTATGTTTACCGCGGGGAAGCTGGTCCGGACGCCTCTGCTGGGTTAGCGGGTGTCAGCGCCGGGGCGAGGGACTGGGTGGCGCGAAGAGACTGCGCTGCCGCCTCCCCTCCCCGCTTCTCTTCTGAGTTCCCCACACCCCATCGGGAAAGCCCGCTGACCAAAGCCGGGGGGCGGGGGCGGGGTGCAAAAACAGACGGAGCTTCTCGAGGAGGGTACAAAATCCAGGGATGGAAAGACACCCCACGCACTTTTCGCTCCGCAGGCGAAGCCTATATTGTCACATAAATGAAAATCCAGTTTTCCACAACAGAGAGAGTAGTTCGATTCAAAGCCCCTGGGTATATTTAAAGCCAATTTGAGGTACACAGCCCTGGGAGGTAAAGGTCATACTTTTAAACTTCAACGACCTGGTCACTTGCCTCCCTTTTTTCAAATCGCTGGAGCACTAAATTTACATCTGAGAGAATAAGCCCTTAGGTTCCCCTAGGTGTCAAGTGTATTCTAAATAGGGCTCACCACAACTTTTCTCATTCTTTCACCTGTTCTTTCCCCAGCAATAATTACTACAAAATGGTATAAAGAGAGTAACTGCTTAACTTCAGAATCACAGAGTATTAGAGCAGGAGCCAAAATCTTAAAACTGAGGCCCAGAGAGAAAAGGGCTTGTCCAAATCACATCCAACGACTTAAGAATCAGAACTGGAACCCAGGCCTTCTAACTCTTAGTCCCGTGCTATTTCCACCCTACCACTTCAGTACTGGACTTTGCCAGACCTGGAACAAGTATGATAATCAGCAAAACTGGTCTCAGAAGTAAACCACCAAACTATGAAGAACACTCCCCATGTGCCTAAGTCAGTGCTGAGCAGTGTAGAAGGTACAAAGAAGTCTAAGTGAACTGATTAGAACTTACCTCCTGTTCCACAATTACACTTTCTTAGATACACTTAAGATGCAACAGTGCCCTCTTGCTTGATGGAATCCTTTTTGTCTAGGGTTGCCATTTTTCCCACCAGACAGTGGGCAAAATTCAGCCTGAAAAAAAAAAAGGAAAAAAGGATGTTTACGAAGGAGGAGACTGAGCATTGTCATGTTGTTCCTGCATAACTGAGTCCAATCCCAGCTGGTCCTTGTGGCCTGGGAGATCTTCCCAGCAAATTTCAGTCATCTAGTTATTCTAGTCCATCTCCCTGCCTCCAAGAAAGACAAACACACCTAGGAACTAAATATTGCCTTTGTACCTAATGATTTTCAAGGGAAGGAGTTCCAACTTCCCTTTGTAATCTGTTCCTCTGTTTAAGAACCTAGAAAATTCTTTTTAGTTATCCTGAATTCTTCTTGCTATGGTTCAATTTTCATTCTACTCTTTTAGCCCTTAGAAAAGATAGGAAACAACCAAGTTAACAGTCCTCCCATCCTCTGGAGGAAGAGGGGAGAGCAAAAACAAAAGTAACACATATAGTGAAGCAAAACAAATTTCCACATTTGCCTTGTCTAAAAATGTACATCTAATTCTGTATATTTAGTCCATCAAAAGTGGGGTGGCATTCTTTATTATCATTTCTCTGGAATCATGTTTGATCAGCTCTTTCAAAATTGTTCATTTTTAGAATACTGTTGTTGTAGCATATACTGTTCTAGTTCGGCTCACTGCAATCTGCACCAGTTCATACAAGTTTTCAAAGATTTCTCTGAAACTGTCTCTTTCATCATTTCCTTCATCACAATAATATTATATTACATTCATATGCCATAATTTTTCACCATTCCTCAATTGATGGACACCCCATTAGTTTCTACCAGTTCTTTACCACTACAAAAAGAACCACTATAAATATATTTGTACATAAAAGTTCTTTTCCTCTTTCTTCCATCTCATGGTGTATAGGCCTAGAATTAATGGCCTTATATCAGCGAGTCAAAAGGTATACCCAGTTTAGTACCTTTTGGGGCATGTTTCAAATTGCTTTCCAGAGTTGCTGGACCAAAATTCACAGCTCCACCAACAGTGTATCAACATGCCTATTTTTCTGCAGCCCATCCATTTTTTATCATTTTTCTCTTTTGCTAATTTGATGAGTGTGAGGTAGAATCTCTGAGTTGCTTTCATTTCTATTCCTCTATTAGTCATTTGGAGCATTTCCCCCCATATGGCTAAAGATAACTTGGATTTCTTGAGAACCACCCATTTATGTATTTTAATTGTTTATCAATTAGGAAATGACTCTTCACAAACTACTGAATTTCTACCCAGCTCCAGGAAATACAGAAAAAAATCAGATTTCTTTCCTTCCAAACCACTCTTTGACTTTTATCCTGCTTTCATCCAAGTAACTAATAGCTAATAATTACACAGTACTCTAAGATTTGTGAAGTGTTTTACATATATTATCTTGTTTGATTCTCATTAAAACCCTATGAGGTAGTTATTGCTATAATCCTCATTTTACAGATGAAGGCTAAAAAGGTAAATGACTTGTCTAGGGTCAGTCAGCTTGTAATTGTCTGAGGCTAAATTTGAATTCAGGTTTTCCTGACCCTATATCCACTCCACTACTTAGCTCTCTCCAGAAGCATCCATAGTGAAAATCTCCCCAACCAATCCAGGCAGGAGTTTAGGCATCTTCCTAGATCCCTGACTCCTGCATTGTTAGGGGTTTTTTCCATATGTTTGTACAAGTCTTTTTGCTTTCCTCAGACCAGTGAATGAATCACCATGTTCATTAGTTCCCTGTCAGTTTCCTGAGGCTAGGGACTAAGTTATTTTTCATTTTTGTTTCTCTAGCAGAAGTTCAGGTTGCATACTAGGTGATTAATAAACGTACATTGAATTTAATCAACTTACACACCATAGCAGTTTATTATGAGTTGGCCACAAGAGCTACCAATAAGAATGTCAGATGACTGAGCAGAACCAGCTTTTAGCAAATATAGAGGGTGATCTTGCAGTCATTGCGTAGAATACATGATGTTTGTCCTCCTACCGCAACAGCACAATAACTGGTCACTTATGCTCAAAGTACAGGCTAGCCTCCCTCCTAAAAGAGAAGGGAGAAGGGAAAGGAGCTCAAGGAATGCCCTTCCACTCTCCTATGTTATCAAGGAGAATGAAGATTGAGCTTCATGGCATAAACAGAAGAAGCAGCATTTGAAGAGGAAAAGAAAAATGCCTGACCTTCGCCAAGAAGTTTGAGGGCATGTGTTTCAGCAGAGAATGGAAAGAAAAATGACAGAACACTTAGAGCTAAGGGAGAGGTATGCAGTGAAAACAGCTCTTTATCCAAGAAATGATGTGGCTCCATAGGGCTCGTCAGGGAAAAAAAATTAAAGCTTAAAGCTGGAAGGACCTTAAAAGCCATTGAGTCCAACCTCTTCACACACACACACACACACACACACACACACACACACACACACACACAAAACCACCAAGGGAGGTTAAGTATCATGCTAACTCTCAGAGAAACCAGTAGGAGTGAGATTTGAACCTAACTGGGTGGAGGACAATGCATCATCCAGTGAGAACATGGTTTCCAAAGCTTAGGTAGCATCACTCTTTCCTTTTTTATTAACAGCAGCAACAAAAAAAATCATAATCCTACATTTTCATCAGTAGGAATGGATGAAACACTAAGAATGTGAATATGGAGGAGAAAGAGGGTTTGAATAGTCCCTGTGGTGAGTGGGACAGCTAATCAATTAGAAGTAAAAGAATTGCTGTGCTACAAACCTATTTAAGATTTTTTACTGTTTAGTTGTTTCAATCATGGCCCCATTTCGGATTTTCTTGGCAAAGATACTGGTGTGGTTTGCCATTTCCTTCTCCAGCTCATTTTACATTTGAGGAAATTGAGACAAACAAGGCTAAGTGACTTACCCAGGGTCACACAGGTATCTGAAGCCACATTTGAACTCATGAAGATGAGTCTTCCTGATTCCAAGCCCAGTGTTCTATCCACTTTGCTACTTAGCTGCTTGTCATTTGAGATCAGATGACAGAAATTTTTAGTGTTCTTAGCACAATTGAAGATAACCTCTAATTCCATTAATTGGTACTTGAGTAGGATCAAAGGAAGCAGATAGTAGGAGTAATCAAAGGAGGCAGGGGTGGGGTTTGGATATTCATGGGTGCCAGTAATATAAGGGAGCAGAGCATACAAGAGTAGAAGACAGTGTAAAGTTGAATTGCTTCACTGAAGTCAAGATCTGTAATGGAGGAGACTTAGCACAGGTTTGAAGACCTTGGCAAGTACTGATGATGGAGGGATTAGATGTCTGGGTGAGGGTGAATAGCATTAAGAAGTGTAAAGCCCAGAGAGAGATAATAGATAATAGAAGATTATCAATCATGTAGAAGGTGAGGCTTGAGCTCAATCTTGAAAGAAATTAGGGATTTAAAGAGACAGGTGAGGAGGGATGGGGAATCACCTAGGCAAAAAACGGAAACAGGAAATGGAAAAGCATATAAGCAACAGTAAGAAGTCCAATTAAATGTGTGAGGAATACAATTCCCCAGTTAATGAGAATGATGAAAGGCTTTGTAATTGCTCTTAGAAGCAATAGTGAGCCACTGGAGTTTATTGAGTAGGGGAGTAACAAGATTATAGGATTAGGGATGTAGAGATAGAGGGAACTTTGAGGTGATCTGGTCCAACCTTCTTTACTGTTGAGGAAATTGAAGTTCAGTGAGGTGGAGTAACTTGCCAGGGAACTGGCAGTACCTAGATTTGGACTTAAGTACTCTGACTTCAAATCTGGTCCAGATATGTAAATGAAGCCTTTAATTCATCTACAAATAGTTCATCCTTTGTATGCCTTGAGAGCAAAGACTGGTTTTCATTTTGTCTTTGTATCCCCAGTGCCTCACAAAGTGTCTTGCATATAGTGTATGCTTAATAAATGCTTGTTAGGTTATTTTTTTTAATTGTCATGTGTAATTTTGTTAGCTTGTTCTACTGGGGATGGAGCATGCACAAAACTGCTTTCTTCCAGCTGATGATGTCTGTAGATGAAAGGACTTGGTGATTTGGTATGACACAGCAAAACCTAGGTGGTCTGTCAGTCCTCATTTGGTCCATGACAGTGAGAGGGGCGTAGGGGGGTTTATCAAATAAACTAAGAGACTATTTATGGTTCTCTCTCTTCCATAGACATCCCAAGACTTGTGACAAGTTATTGCTATCTCCCTTGAGAGATAGGGGAAGAGACTGCCCATTTCCCCACAATGGCCGCAAGCTGCTCCCATGTGGCAAATAGAGCCGGGGTGATCAACTGGATGAACTTGAGTCTAGGCCCCTA